TAAAATTGTATTTTTTTTTATACATTGTAGATCAAGATGTCCAAATTCGATATCTTTGTGATGTCTGCTGGCGCACAGGAAATTGGAGCACAGGAAAAATCAAATGATTAAAGCGCATTCAGTTTTGGAAAAAGCAAGACTTAAGAATCCTAAAAATGCAGAGTTATGGATGGAAGCTATACGGAATGAATTAAAAAAAGGTGATACGCGCGATATAGCAAATACATTAAGACTAAGGCATTATAAGAATGTCCCACATCCGGACTGCTTTGGGCAGAAGCAATTTTTATGGAACCTCAACTTCAATGGAAAACGAAAAGTATCGATGCCACTAAAAAATGCGAACATGATCCTTATGTTCTTTTGAGTATCAAAGTGTTCTTTTAAAATTTTAGAATATTAAAATATCAAATCATTATGTAGAATATAAAGTTGAGTATTTTTTATATTCAAAATAATTGAGTTTCCCCTTCTTTTCCTCTTTTTGTCTCTTCTACTCTTTCCTTTCTTCCTCTCTCTTTTTTTCTTTTTAAAATAATGCAAACATTATATGAATATTTCCATTACAGATTATTTTGGTGCGAGCACAAGATTTCGAAGTATAAAGATTGATTTAATAGGACGGTGAAAATAGATTCAGATTTAGGCGATACATGGGCGTATTTTTACAAATTTGAATTACTGAATGGTATAGAAGAGCAGCAAGAGAAAAAAGAGGTGTATAGAACCTCATCATGCGAAAATTTCCAAAAATATAATAAATTGGTGTCTGAGTATAGATCAAATCTTAGTACTAGTTGCAAAAGAGTTACTCATTCCTATATAAAACAAAAAAACATAAAATTATCGTGGCATACACGTACATCAGAACGCAGGTATTATAAATTTAACTAATATATAAATGTATAAATAAATCTGAAAAAAACTCTGATTTCATATTCTTGTTTTTTAAATAGATAAGATATTTATGTATATGACATTACAGCCATTGGGCAAATTAGATATTTCGGAAAAAAAATTATATGATTATTATTAATTTACAAAAATTCAATATAATATATAATATTACAGAATTTCTTAATCATAATTTTCTTAATTTTGATTCTAAAATTGTTTTACTGATTGTTTTTCAAATAACTATTTTTTTATCTGCCTTTACATTTAAAAATCCTTCTCTTCCTCACAATTAAAGTATAAGTGATAATGTATTTCAAACTGATCGACTTTATGTTTAAAAAAAAGTTGGAAAATTACAGTTTTGTTATCTGCTTCTGATAGCGACTCGCAATAATATATATATAAATTTTATACTTTGTATATGTATATAAAATGATTTTGGTTTGGACTAGGGATATGAACAAACAATATTTGTCGCGTTCAGCAAACAATTGTTGCAGAATAGATTCGTGAATGTTTGCTGGTGTATTCTTTTAGATTATTCAATAGCAATGAGCGCTCATGGACTTCGCAACAGTTGAGTGCTGAATGCGATCATTGTATTCTTAGGATTAGCTTAGACACCTAATATAAAAAATTAATTAGTTATAAAATGTATACATATGTGTGCGTGTGATATTGATATAGTAGTGTGCATTGATATGTTACTGATATGTAAATTGTATGTTTGTGAGTCCGGATCTATAATAAATATTTTAAGCCTTAAGAAATTGATCGATTTTATAATTACAATCGAATGCGAAGAAAATAATTGAAGATTCATCCATATCTTATGGCTTAAGACTTAAAAAACTGACGGATGGATTCAGTTCTTAGAGCATTATAGTTAACAAATATAAAGATTATGCATTTCGCAGGTTTTTTTCCGTTTCCAGATCCATTCTTGGAATGTTAACGTTTCGTAAATCTTGTAGTTCACTTCAGGGCGAGGAGCAGCCTGATAATTGGTATTCCAAGAATAGATCTGGACACGAAGAAAACCCACGAAACGTATAATATAATCTTTATATAGAAAACATCCATGGAAGTTAACATCCTCAAGAAAGTTAATAAATATATTTCCTGGAAATTTGTTAACTATAAACAGATAGATCTCCAGGAAATACATTTGTTAACTCTAAGAACGTCTATTATTTTTGTTTTCAATTGCCTGTCAATTTATATTTATTTGCTATCTCGAGAGCTCAATTTAATTTCTTCTTATTTATATTAGGTGTACAACTTTGCTTCCGCCGTTTTCCTATAGATGGCTTTAGCGGTAAATAGTGATCGAAATAAATAGATCATAGACGTCATACAATAAACTTGGGCATCTGTCAACATAACCCCATAGAAACATTAGTCGATTTGTGTCTGCATCATAAAGTTATTCTCGATTGAAAATGTCAGTTTACGAGCCAAATTCTCGTCATTTGCGGGAGATTTTAATTTTTTGCTTCAATATGAAGAAATCTGCGGCTGAGGCTCATCGAATGCTCTCAAATACTTATGGTGAGGCCGCTATTAGTGAAAGAACGTGTCGTGAGTGGTTTCAATGCTTCAAGAACGGTGATTTTGACGTCCAAGGTCATGCTCTGTATTTGGTGGGACCAGCTCGGTGTAGTGTATTATGAACTGTTAAAACCGACTGAAACAATCACAGGCGATCGGTATCGAACGCAATTGATGCGTTTGAGCCGAGTATTGAAAGACAAATGGCCGCAATACAACGAGAGACACGATAAAGTGATTTTGCAGCATGACAATGCTCGACCCCATGTTGCGAAAGTGGTCAAGACATACTTGGAAACGTTGAAATGGGAAGTCCTACCCCACCCGCCGTATTCTCCAGACGTTGCTCCCTCTGACTATCACTTGTTTCGATCAATGGCACACGGCTTGGCTGATCAGCACTTTCGGTCTTATGAAGAAGTAAAAAATTGGATCGATTCGTGGATAGCCTCAAAAGATGACCAGTTTTTTCGACGCGGGATTCGTACGCTACCCGAAAGATGGGAGAAAGTAGTGGCCAGAGATGGGCAATACTTTGAATCATAAATGTATAACCAGTTTTTTACAATAAAGCCTCGAATTTCGGAAAAAAAACGGCGGAAGCAAAGTTGTACACCTAATATATCTTGGATTCCCTTAAAGCTCCTGAGTAATCGCTGCGGCCATAGTGAATCGTCAGAAGGAATAGAAATGCTACGTTAATTTTTATTATAAATTTAATTTACTACTAATTATTAGGTGGACAAAGATAGCCTCATTTATTTATAAGTATTTTAAAGCGATTTCAATTTGTTTTATCCAAATTGTCTTTATTTATAAGTAGCACGTAATAAAAATTGTCATTTCTCATTTCTGACGTCACGATTAAGTTCGGTCGCGACTACTCAGGAATCTTAATAATTTAACAATTACTCTAAATATTTATATAATTTTTTTTTATTAAAAGAAATTTTTTTTTATTAAGATAATTTTTTACAAAAATTTACAACTCTGATGATGTCAAAGTCATTCTTTTCCCATTATTATGCACATATAATTGGCATAAATATATGTTTTCATATGATAAGAAGCCTTTATTCTATTTTATTTTTAATAGAAAATAAGAAAACTAATAAACCTAGTATTCTGGTTTGAATACTGATACAGGTAAAATTGATAATAAGGACAGAAATAAAGATAAAACAAATTTGAAAAGAAGAGAAGATGTATTATTAATACAGAGAATAAGATCGTTAGTTATTACATAAGATGATAATATTTATAATAATAGCGATATTGATAAAGAAAAAAACGATAATTTTGGCGATGATGTTTATAACTTATGTAATAAAATTTTTTTTTTAATAAAAAGCCGTCAATTATAAAATATTTGAAAATATCATTTATTTCATTTTTATAATAACAGGCTTTAATTGATGCGAACATATCAACTTGAAATTCAGATCTTCAAATTTTATCCATGTATAGTTTGCTATCTATCATGAAAAAAATTTTTAGATTAAACTTTTTATTATGCCTGTCACTTACATTAAGCAGTAAAAATGGAGGGCAAAGAAAATAAACCAGGAATTTTAAGTTGTCTTATAAAAGGTAAACTATTTGATAATATTATTATTTGATAGTATTAATATTATCCGACAGATTTTATACCATGAATAGAACAAAGTGAATCTTATACAGATTTTTTGTCACTGGAAATGAATCTATAAATGAAATTGTTCTAACACATCACATTTTAAGATATTTTACTTTAAAAGTATTAAAAAATGCTATTTTTAGCACTTTTCAGGTTCAATTTTTCAAAAACGTGACGGGATAAAACAATTTTATTTACGGATTCTCAGTCTATAAAAACAAAAAGTCTATAAGGATTTTGTCCTGTTCATGATCAAGAAAAGTTTAATTTATCGGACAGTATAACTATTTGTATGTACTCACATAAATAATCTTCTCTCTAATCTTATTATAATTATTTTTAACAATACAAACATCGTATAAACTATTAATCTTATATTGTATATTAACATAGATTTGTAAATTCACGTCCTGGTCTAGTTTATAAATTACCAACGTTAGATGGCATAACAATCTATCTCGATATAGAAATCCATATAGCATACGAACTCGATATAAAGACATCTGTAATAGGGCTTGGGCCTCATTACAATGTCAGAAATTTAACAAAATCTGAGTCAGATAATCCACCTGCTTACACAATCAGAGGAAGGAAAGCTTGGAGTGAGTATAAAATAGTGCTTTCCTAATTTGAAACTTAGGAAAATAATATTAATACTAATATGGCGATGAAGGTAATGAAGGAATGGTCGCCAGTTGTGGCGGTGTACATTATGGCGATGCGTTGTGTATGCAATACGCGTAGTGTGCATTCGCTTAGCGTGTTCGTGGATTACAGCCGGTCTCCTTCGACCTCACTGTTACCAGTAGCACAGAGAGTTCGCAGTGCAAGTTGGATAGGTTCCATGTGAATGTTGAGACATGGATATGATGCTATTTACAATATATTTACAGACTTATGTACAATGATTGAGGTGGTCCTGAAAAGGGCTGATTGAGATACTTTTACTTGTATACATAGTCAGGCCTTATATTTAAGGCTTCCTTAAATTTATCTTTAGATAATCTACGAATTATTTCATTGGCTGCTGAGCATGGTGTAAACAAGGGGATTATCGTAGCGCTCTGTTAAGGGAGAATAAAGTATATATAACTAAAAGAAATAATAAACGCTACCGAATTAATATAAACGACAATGAAGAAGTAGATAGATAGATCTACGCCGATTTATGTATGTACGTAAAATAAAATGTAAGAATCGCGTGTAACGTGTACTTTTGTAATAGTCATTTTGCGAAAAATGATTAAAAAAAAAACAGTAAAAAACAATAACAGAAGAAACAAGACAAATGATAGCAGAGATAATAAAAAGTTGACGCTTGATATATCATAGTTTTCGACATATCCTATCCAACATATCTTCCTCTTACGTACATACGCATACCTAGTTATTATTGCAGGTATATGTTATATATAGGATACTTTATGAGCAAACGATACTAATATAATTATGATTATTATTATTGTAATTATTTTGATTATTATCATTATTGATATTAATTATTATTATTGTCACATAATTAATGCGGAGGTGCGTATACTATAAAAATGGTACAACTAAGGCAAGCATGTATTGTACATAGCTGTCAATATTTGCCCCACCATATAAATATAATATACATATACATAAATATATATGTATATATATATTTTTTTTTTTCCGAAATTCGAGGCTTTATTGTAAAAAACTGGTTATACATTTATGATTCAAAGTATTGTTCATCGCTGGCCACTACTTTCTCCCATCTTTCGGGTAGCGTACGAATCTCGTGTCGAAAAAATTGGTCATCTTTTGAGGCTATCCACGAATCGAACCAATTTTTTACTTCTTCATAAGACCGGAAGTGCTGATCAGTCAGGCCGTGTGCCATTGATCGAAACAAGTGATAGTCAGAGGGAGCAACGTCTGGAGAATACGGCGGGTGGGACTTCCCATTTTAACGTTTCCAAGTATGTCTTGACTACTTTCGCAACATGGGGTCGAGCATTGTCATGTTGCAAAATCACTTTATCGTGTCTCTCGTTGTATTGCGGCCGTTTGTCTTTCAATGCTCGGCTCAAACGCATCAATTGCGTTCGATACCGATCGCCTGTGATACTTTCAGTTGGTTTTAACAGTTCATAATACGCCGAGCTGGTCCCACCAAATACAGAGCATGACCTTGGACATCAAAATCACCGTTCTTGAAGCGTTGAAACCACTCACGCGACGTTCTTTCACTAATAGCGGCCTCACCGTAAGTATTTGAGAGCATTCGATGAGCCTCAGCCGCAGATTTCTTCATATTGAAGCAAAAAATTAAAACCTCCCGCAAATGACGAGAATTTGGCTCGTAAACTGACATTTTCAATCGAGAATAATTTTATGATGCAGACACAAATCGACTAATGTTTCTATGGGGTTATGTTGACAGATGCCCAAGTTTATTGTATGACGTCTATGATCTATTTATTTCGACCACCACTTACCGCTAAAGCCATCTATAGGAAAACGGCGGAAGCAAAGTTGTACACCTAATATATAAATGCATGTCTAAATTTAAGAAAATTTTAAGCTCTGACTATAAATATGGGATTTGTGTGGCCTTTGAAAGGGCCATTTATAATGCGGTGTCTACCGCGATACATTATTGGCAGCTGGCAGCGAGTCCACTTAGCGGGACCTAGAGAGCTCGTTGTTGTTACTATCAACCTCTTCTGATTAGCTCATAGACAGTAATCGGCAACTCTCTTTCGCCAGGTCAGCGGTGACCGCAGTGGTATGCAACGAGAGCTCCACTCGGCTTCTGCGGCGTCTCCCATTCGTTGCTCGACATCTGTCGGTGGTCCGAGACGGCGTCACAGGCAGAGAGGAGGAGCCGGAATGACGCTGTAATTCGGCGTGTGTCTCCGGCAATCTCACGTGCAGTATCCTCAGCGGCCGCGTCAGTTGCTGGCGCTGCGGTGATGACGTCGGGCGAGATGAGTCCCCACCTCGCTAGCAACGTGGAGTCACTAGCGCTTGTTGCTTCCGTTGCTGGCCACACCTGCCGGTTGCTGCCATTCCTCTGTGAGACCATGTTGCTGTTGACTGGCATCCGCGCTGTGCCTCCGCTAGTAGGTCGCGATGTCGCTGCAGCTCTGCTAATCGCTGCTGCTGAGCGGCATCTTTGCTGATCGGCTGCTGGGCACCTCTGCTATTTAGCTGCAGCGATCGCTGTGGTAATCTTGCTGGTAGCACAGTATAT